TGTCGGTGTTGGAGGACTATATGTTTGCTTTCCTCAGCTGAGGAAAGGGAGTTTTCAAAGCTATTCGATATAAGTTTTTGCATGAAATCGGGGTAAAAGTGTACAGAAACCGAAAAAAAATTTACTCGTAGAATTTTCATATTGTCATCAACAGATGTAGTTGTCCATGTGCAAAATTTCCCTCCACACTGTTAGCCCTTGGAATACGTGAATCTGCAAGTAACTACTTGAGTATTTCGTTCAATTTTGCTGCCCTGGTGTCTCGATCAATAGAAGATTGGAGTTTCACAACCCGTTTAACGTGAAGTGGCGTCCTAATACTCTGTGAAAAACGCGATGTTATTCGCGGTGATATGCATCAGTAGTCATGGAATATATTTTCCACTAGTGTTTTTTATATCACTAGGGTGGTGAAACTTCATTGTAATCGGACTGAGTTTCGATAGCGAAGAGGAATGGTGTGGTTAAAAAGCCGATAGTTTTGGAGAATCTTACGTGTGCATGCGTGCAAATCGATATTCGTGTTAGTTGGCAATGATTGTGATCGCGGGTATGTATTATTATGCATTCACGACAACGACGCTTACATATTATCAAGTTCTGCAAGTGGATAGAGACGCCCAGCACATTGACATCTATCAAAACTACAAGAAGTTATCAGCTGAGTCGGACGAGCGGCGGGAGAAAGAGGCGTAATCGAAAGGTAGCCGGTTCGATTCTTGGCATGGTCATTTTAGATACGACAGAGCTTATGATGTTCTTGGTAAGGCTAGAAAGAGATCTGAATACAACCTTTATGGAGACATCATCTCGATGGTAACTTCCATGTCTCAGCGAGTTACTATTCAACTATAGGCTATTATTTCAGACTGGTGACTCGGATGAGCCCCCGACCGTTACTTTAGTTTTGGTCCAATCCGGTTTCATACAGGTGAGTGTGTGATCCTATTATGTGGCTCACTAGGTCAGTGTTGGAGGAATATATGCTTGCTTTCCTCGCTAATTACAGTAGTTTAGTCAAGAATTAGGGTAGAAACGTAGAGAAACCAATAAGAATTTCCCAAAATTTTCTGCCAGAATTTTCATATTTTTAACATATGTAGTTGACCATGTGCATATTTTCTCTCAGTGTTAGATAAAGACATGTTCGCTTTCTCCAAATTTTTCCTCACAAATTATACGAATTTTCCAACATACCTGATACAGAAAAAACCAAGAATTTCCCGAAATTTCCCCCCAGAATTTTTATATTTTCAGCATATGTAGTTGACCATGTGCATACTCCTCCTATAGATACTATGTTTATGTTTGGCGGCTGCGTTCGCGGTGGGAGCTCCGCAAGCTCTCATCAACTCTACTGTGGCGCTTCTGTTGACGTCCTTCGTTTTGGAATTGTGAGTGGGGGAAAATTTGAGAATTTTCTGATGGAAAAAATGGATTTTTTTCCGAGTGGGAAGAGCAGTGAATTTGAGGAGAGTTTCCTGCGAGATTATGAATCGAAAATCTAATATATTTTCAGAAATAAATTCCTATACATTAGAGCTTCACCCTAGTGATATGAAAAACATATTCCGGCTTTCACTTGGCGAAACGCAGTGA